AGGACTTGAGAGAATTCCCATGCAATCAGAAGCATAAGCAAAGTATAAACTGAAATATGAGGAGCATGACCTGTATAAAAATGTTGTCAAAATGCACTGAAATTTTGCTTTAGATATGAGGTCCCTAAGGAAAAGTTCGGTGAGAGACAACTTTTATCCCACAAGAACTCAAGTTAGCCTTTTGTCAGATAAGTACTGCTTCTCTACTCAAATACTCTCTGGGTATATAGAAACTTAACGTCATATCCCTGTGTTTCAAAGGGCTTTTTTCCCCTCCATTTTACTGAATAGCAAATTTTTTAATGCCAATAATCCAATCGGTGATTTTTTTAAAGATAGTTTTATACTAGGCTGTTATCAAAACCCTCCCACAGAGTGGGCCCTTGGGAACTGGGGTGACCGGAGCCCCCAGTTGGTGGGTCTGAACTAGACAATTCATTTCTTGAAGTTTCCACCCAGAAAACAAAATGCACATCTTTCCTAAGTGAGCTTGTGGACTTTTAAATCCAGAATTCAGGTTTCCTTTTTTAAAAGAAAAATATCTGGGTACTGAAGCAGGCTGGCTTTATCGAAAGCATTTTGAGAGCTAGAGAAACAAAGAAAAGAATGAGAGGTAGCAGTGTTAAAAATTACTTCTTAAATCAGGAAGACTGTCCTTAACAGCCCACGTGCTGTTCTCGGGTGGACCCTGCAGAGGGCAGTAGCAGGACCAGGGATCGGGGAGGGCCATCCATGGCCTTTGAGCTCTCCTTTCTCTCTGGGGCGGTGGATTGGCCTGAGTTATCCTCTGGCAAACATCGGGTGCCATAGGGACAGGGGCAGGGGCAACAGAATGGACACACTGACGCTCTCAAACAGTGGTTCTCAACCTTTCTAATGCTGTGACCCTTTAATACAGTTCCTCATGTTGTGGTGACCCCCAACCATAAAATTATTTTCATTGCTACTTCATACCTGTAATTTTGCTACGTTAATGAATCATAATGTAAATATCTTATATGCAAGATGTCTTAGGTGACCCCTGTGAAAGGGTCGTTCGACCCCCAAAAGGGTCGTGACCCACAGGTTGAGAACCGCTGCTCTCAAAACATTTCCTGCAAACCCAGTCCTTTTTGTCTGGATCACAGCTTTTTGACATCTTCTGTTTGTATTATTATAAAGAAGTGAGTTTTTTTTTTTTTATTTAAAGGTGTTTTTTTTTTTTTTCATTGAAGTCACAAATTTTATTTAGAGAGCAATAGAGCCAAAAGGTAGAATGAAACAAAGGCATTGAATCCACACTTCCTAAGGTTTTCCAAAAAGCCACAAATACAAAACAGGCGAACCAAAAATGTGTGTATTTGCTGTATTTAGGCAGTGGGTTACCTTTGCATGCTGAAGACTGATATGGAAGTAGGAGGGAAAATGGGGGGAGGGGGAGAAACTTTACTGTTTTTAGTTAAGAATTTATAGGAAACTGTTTTGAATGTAATTATTTTCCTAAGTTCGTAGGTAGTGATCAAGGAGAAAGTCTATTTAAATCAATTCTGCCATCATCCCCCATAGAATGCAAACACAGGCTTTATTTAAATAAGCAGTTACTTCAAGAGCTCCTTCTTGTTTTGTTTGTTAGTTTGTTTGTTTGTGGGGTTTTTTTTTTTGGTTTTTTTTTGCTTTTTATTTATTTATTTTTTTTGCTTGTTTTTATTTTTGTTTTGTTTCTTTGTTTTTCAGCACAGAGATCTAGGAGCAAGAGATGTTTTGCATGTACATGACATTGTTCATTTCTTCCCATTTCATTCTAAGATGGCCTTTCCCCTACCCTGAAGAGAAAGGAAAATGTCAGGAGAAATGTATTCCGGATGGGACTGGGGAGCTGTGAGGTCTGAATGCAGATGGCAGCACTGTTACAAGTGGCAGCTCTGCTTTATTTTCATTCAGGTGGTTACTGTCGTATTCATAGCAGAGGTCAAAAGGAGATAGCATTCCATCAAATCAAATAAAAAATAGTATGCAGGGCTCAAGAGAAAAGAAACTGCTCAGTCGGGTGCATGTACATTTATGTGTGGATATGATTAAATTTCTTTTCAAATGGCATCATTAGGTGTGATTTTTTTTTTTTTTTAAGCAGACAATTAACATTCAACCTAAGCAGCAGCTTGCTTGGCCTTGGGCGCGGTATGTTTTATTCCTCCCTAGTTAGCTACGCTACAAGTGTCCAGGGATATATTTTTCTATGTACCTGAGAAGTATTTTTACAATTGAAGACCAACTTAATAAATTAATATAGCAACAAGTGTAAGGAGGTTACAGTGGGGAGAAAGACTTTATCTTGATAAAGAAGCCATTGAACACTGGGGTTGTCTTTGGCTCTTGGTCACAGAAGGCCTCATGAAAAGAGCAAATCTTCAGAAGGAAATTAAGGCAGAGAGTTTTGCTGAGAGGGCAAAATCACAAAAACAATATTCAGATACTGATCTGCAGAGCGTAGCTGCTGGACTGGGATTTGGGAAAAGCCCACCTCGGGGGTTTTTTTCTGATAGTGGAATTGGATCGGGCCGTCATCCTGTTAGAAATCTATGCACACTGTTGGAGAATTCCTGAAGAAGGTGCTGAGCATAGAGCTCTGACATTTTTAAGAATTGATCTGAAAACGAATCAGCAAGAGACTAAGACAGAATCTTTAATAACCTAACCAAAGGCAGCAAACTGTCCCTGAGACACGTTTTATTCTCAAGCCCTCTGTGCCCTTCGTAATGAAGAACACACACTTGAAAGGGCTCCATAATGAAGACTAACGATTTAGGAAAGCGAGTCGATGCCGTCCTCATTAGTTAGCGCAGTGCCCGAACCCCGCCACCTGGCCCCTAGCTCGTCCTTTCACCGCCACAGCATCGCACAGATTCTCTTTTTATAACCCATCGCACTTTTAATCTTATCCAGAGCTGTGCTAATTCTTGCATAGTGTGATTTCTCTGTGGCAGGAAACTATATTTATTAAAACATTCAGGTGTTTTCTTCTTACCTTTCTACCTTCTGGTTATGCATAATATTGTCAGAAAAGAATACAAAACTTTAATGTTATTGTTTTCTTGTTAGTGTCAGCAGCAGGTTCCTTTCTGTGTTAATACTAATGAGGCTGCTACTCTCCAACCCAGGGAGCCTAGAACCTTAGGTTATTGTTGAAGTATTTCCCGTGCTCCTGATACATTGCATGTAAACTACATGTAAGAATGATCAGGCCAAGGAATTAAGCTATGAATAACCATTGACAGATTTTCCTCCCTATAATGAATGCTTTGCTAGAAGGTTAAATTTAGAGGCTGTGCTTTAAGTATGAATGACATCTAGTTACTGTCCAAATGAAGATCCAACATGGCCCATATGCAGTGGTCCAGTTTCACTGCTTTTAAGCTGAACGTGGAAAATAGTATTTGGTTTTTATTTACTACTACCTAAGAGATACTCAGAACACATATATCTGTTTTGTTAACCTCGAAAGCATGCCATAAACTACTTTTCTTCCCGTGTGGAGAGAGCCCGGTCTTAAGCATAGTAACCTGCCCCTCACTCGGTGCAGCAGTGCTGGGTTGACCATGCACAGCGTCTGGACAGTCACAGTCAGGTGCATGTGGACGTGGGGGACACAGACAAGCATTTGCTGAGCAGTGGCTCATGAGCCTCAGTGCTGCCTCCTAGGGTCAGGCTGCGGTGAATTTGTTGGAAACATGGGAATGGTGGTACACTAAAGATTACGTGTCCCCAGAGATTACCGACTTGGGAACTCATCAAGCATCTCCCTCTACGTCTATCTATATTCCCGTTGCTCATCAGGGCTTCATGAAAGCTATTTCTTTCCTCAGAGGCCGTATTTGGGGGTGGGAGAGATGTACATGTTTAGATGGGTCTGTAATCTGGGAAGCCATGGCTGAAACCAGTATCCACTGACTGGTTCTCAAAGATAGGTTTTGCTAAAGGATTTTGAAGAGGCATTTGGTTTGGTTTCAGAAAATGGTAAAAAGCAAAGCTGTGTTACTGGGTTTCAGAGCCTCTGTCGCTGTCGGCCATTGTAACTCAGAAATGGAGCACGGCCCCTGGGACCTTCGTGAGCCCACTGCAGTCTCCCTGACCTTAATTCTCTCAGCAACGGCCACACACCGCTCGTTTTCTGCCTCCCTCCCACCTTTCCTCTGCTTTACCTTTTCTCATCTGACTTATTTTTACTAGAATCTATCAAATCAAGAATCTGAGATCCTTCTGTAATTTGCAATATAGATAATAGTTCTAGATAGTGACTCAGATAGAAACTTTTTAAAAGTACCAAATAGAGTTAGAGGGGGAAAAAATTCTCTGCTATATTCTTTTCAGTTATTCATACAAAAATACGCCAGCGACAAGAGAATTGGGAACTATTTAAAATGTAGCGAGTACTCAGCAAATCATTGATGGAAAAGTTTTTTAGAATGAGAAAAGTATCAGAAAATGATTTGAAATTGGGCAGGAATCCCAGAGCAGCTTCTGGAAAGTGTTGTGGTCTCATATTGGACTGGAAAGTCGAGTCCCCATAGACAGATTCCTCCAGGTGAGTCTGTAGAGTTACAGGGACCATAGCCAAGCCTGGTTCAAGCAGCACCTCGGTCATGTGAAGGATGTTCAAGTGGGTACTGGCAGCACGGAGCCATCAGAGCCATCCAGTCCCCAAAAATCAGGAAGTCATAGCTCCTCCCACTTACACCTTCTTGTAGCTGAGTGTTCAGGAAGCATGATTCCTCCAGCTGGTAGCCAGTAACTCCCAGTCAGCGTCCTTACAGAATACAGAGCAAACTTGAACTAAAGCTCTGTCTTTGTTTCTCATCTAAACGAGTGAATCCATCGGTCCCTCTGGGGCCATCGTCCACTTTGGGGAGTGAAGGCTTCAGCAGCCAGGCGTGCGCTGCGGGTAGTTAACGCGCTGGGTGTGCTGCACGCGTGCTTCTGTGAACAGTGTGTTGACAGCAGTTCCTCTCTGACTTTCCCTGCAGCAAACCCGGTACGAAACGTACATCGGCATTCTGAAAGAGGGAGGCAAGAAGCTCCTGGGCAGCAACGGCAGCGAGGCCCCAGGACTGAAGAAGTCGCATTCCAGCCCCTCGCTGAACCCAGATTCATCTCCGGTCACTGCCAAGGTCAAGCGCAACGTGTCAGAGCGGAAAGACCACCGACCTGAAACACCCAGCATTAAGCAAAAAGTTACTTAGAATCTATCTGCGGCCAGGACGGGGCTGGTCATGGAGCAAAATAAGGGTTTTTTCAAGATCTTTCTGGTAAATCCGTGAATATATTTAAAAAAACAACAATAGTCTGTGACTAAATGGTGCATTAGTAACCTTTTCTATTGTATATTTTTGTTCGTTTCTGTACAGGTTGTCCCTTTGCTCTTGATTTCTTTGCTTTGACGATTTTTGCCACTTGATAACTAATGCACCTTGTTGTGAGGGGAAGGGGGTCATGATTTCAGGTTGAACTGTGTATCATTTCTCCTCTGGTTTTCTCTCGTTTGCACTCTCTCAGTTGTTTTATGTATTCTCGAACCAACTGTTACACTTTTTTTTTTTAAGGTGAAAAAAATTGAACCCATTGTGAACCACTTTACTGGACAAACTTAGTTTAGTCAGTTCCAGCCAGACTTAACATAAACCTTCATATGTGAATTCTTGCCAGTCACACAGGTGGCATCGAGCACTCACCGAACTTGGCTTCAGGATTCCAGTTCGGGATTCAGGTGCCCCATGCTGACACAGCTGTGCGGGCACCTCAGCACTTGTCTTTGGGGTCTGACCCTGCCAGAAGCAGGGAGAGGGGTATGGAGATCGCAGAACAGGAGAACTTATAAAGCTGGAGTGTTGAATCCATTTCAGCCAAGCAAGGGAAGAAGAGGTGGGACCTGTTTGCTACTGAAGGTTGAGGAAAGATGACCCCAGGTTCATTTTCTCTGAAGAAGCATGACCATGATCACCTCGGGAGCAGCAGCAGGAGGCATGTGTGCACGCTGCAGGAACTGTTACCTTGCTCCCACGAGGTCTAGACCAGGAATCCAGAACCATCTCTGTTGTTATCATCCTGTCATCCAGGAGTTTAAATGTGTGTAGGCAGCTGTTGTGTCCTGGTTGTAAGAACATCGGGGTCTTAAGCAAAACAAATAAGAGAGGAACTGGGAGCTGCAGGTTTCCAGCATCGGAATCCTGAGTCTTTAAAGTCAGCCTGAGAGGAATACACAGTCTGAATGGACTGTGGTTGAAAAAGTGAGGAATCTGCCGGTTGCATATACCGAGTAACTTAGTTTATTCTTATCTTAGTCTCTTTGATAGCCAATTCTCTTTGCTCCTCCTGAACTTTCTCCTAAGAATAGACTTTATTTTAAATCCTTTCTATCTACTCAAAATAGTTCTATTGACCTTGAAGTCATAAGCTTGTTTCTGTGACGGGCCCTGTGGAATTCAGGGCGATAAAAAGAACATTCTCTTGTATAGGAACCAGATAGGAGTGAAAATTGAGTTAGAACTTTCTCATTTTGAAACTTTGTGATTCTTAAAGCTGTCATCTCCACAATTTCAGAACTGGAGGAGTCACTTTGAATGCTCTTTTTCCCCTCCCACGGAAAATTGCTCCAGTTCTACTCAGTGTGTTAGTTAACGGTGCTGTGACCAAAGAATTGGGGACTCTGCATGCGTAGGATGGCTCCAGGGAATCAGAGAAAGCCTCCTCTTACACCGTGGCCATTTCTAGTGGCATTTAATCATAGGATTATTTATTCACATTTACTTCCTGCCTATATACATGTTCGTAGTTGATGGTGCCCAGGAAAGAGTGACCCCTCGCTAAGGTTATTGCCGCTTGTTTTGTGGTAAGTACTTTGCCACGCCTTTGGAAAACTCACTCTTAACCTTCCATCTTGTGTAGATAAAGGCAATGACAATTTATGTTTCAGAACCAAGAAACAAATAGGATAGTTACCAAGATGGCTCGTAAACCTGATTCATTTCTGTAGCTTCTGACTGAGTTCAAGATTCCCACAAGGAAATCGTCTTTCTTCCTAGAATCTGAACGATCAGCCTGCTTGCTTTCTGCCTAGTTCTTTATCCTGAGCCGAGGCGAGACGGGTACCTAGATGGCATTGTCTCTGAGCTTCGATAACTAAAGAAAGAAAAAAAAAAAATCCCTGGCTGGCTTGAATGTGTCTGCCCACAGTGTGCGTGAGTCTGTGTACATAGTGTCCCTGTGTGTTCGTTCCACTTGTCCTATTTAATAAACAGAACGGTACCTTGCCGCCAAGCCCGGCGTTCAGAGCAGTTCTGCTAACAGAATCCTCGGTTAGCACAGCAGGGCGTTGCTCCCGTTGTGTGAGTCACTGATGTGTCTCCAGGGGCTTCTGCACATGCTGACAGCAGTGGGATGAGAAGGCACTTTTGAGGCTGCGGTGTGCTGTGTTTGCGTAGTATGCCTTTAAAAACCACCGCAGGCTATTTGGTGAGCCAGGGGCCGCCTGCCCTGCCATGATGTTGTCCATCTTTGGGGGATGAGCCACGAACACCTCCCTGTGGCCTCTCAGGTGTCAGTCTATTGACAGCGCTCCTAGCAGGCCAGGAGTTCATCCTGTAGGAAGAAGCGGCCCCCGGTTTGACGAGATTGTGAGAACCGTGACCGTAGCCAACCACGTTTTCTTTTGCAATAATTTCTTTCCTGTGGCATCTAGTCAGAAGAAGTCAAAGACATTCCTTTCACCGCGAACCCAAGCCCACCGCCGAATGCACGGTACAGGGGAGCTCTCCTCCCCCTCCTTCCGACGGTACGCCCCCTCCCCCGCCCGCTCGTCCCTCCCATGTGACAGCACGGAGCCCCGAGTCGCTCTCCGCGTGGCAAACCGTTATTCCTCTTTACACACATGCACTTCCTATTGATTTTCAGTCTAGAGAATCTTGATAGTCATCAAAAGACTCTGTGGCCATGCTGCTGCACCCTTGAGCCTAGCAGTGGCCCGTGGGTTACATCTCTGCGAGTTTCAGGGCTGGTTCCCGCCTCGCGTGCTGACTGTTACAGGGAGGTGCCAGGAATTGCCTGTTAGCAATCACGGCTGAGTTACTCGCAGTAAGAGGCCTTGTTTTATTGCCAGGCCATAGATACTATGTGAAGTGCACCTTCTTAAAAGCATCCTATCATTAACTCTTAGCAATGCCTAGGTAAGCAGAGCAATACTTGTGCACAGTTTAACTCATCTCATTAAGACCAACATGTGGGAGATTCCCCCGGTGGACCTGGAGTTCCCAGGCAGAGAGCCGCCGCCACAAGCCCTCCGTGCTTCTCCGACTGTTACCCTAACCCAAGGCGGGCACTGTTCCCGGTGAAAAGTGTTGTGCGGGGATTCATTCTGGAAGAGGAAGGTTGGCTGGCTGCTGGGGCCTCACCGGGTTTGGTCTCTTGGGTTTGTATTTCACCTGTGGCCGCACCGCAGGACTCCTGAGGCTGGAGGGGAACTGAGACCAGCAGCAGGGAAGGAGGTCTTTTGTGGCCAAAGCACAGAGTTACGGAGTTCCCTGCTGGCCCTCGCCCACCGCTCCTCTGTCCTGTGAGGAGGCCGGGAGGTGTGCTTAGGCGAGGCGGGGCCTTCTTTGGCAGAGGCCACCTCTCCTCTGCCTTCATCCCACGTCAGACAACTGGGAGAAAACGGGCCTTCCAGAAGTCTCCCCATTGTCGTACGATGAAGACTTCCTTGGATTTGGTTAGTTGTCCTGCAATTTGAATTTCGTTGGCATTTTTCCTTGCAGTCGATTGAGCTTTTTAAGCCTGAATTCATAGGGAGTTACCTGGCAGATCTCTGTTGTGTGTCTCTGGTGACTCCAATGTCCGGTGGGTGGTAGTCACCTTCCTTCATCTCAGCAGCAAGCAGTCCCTTCTCTCTTCCGGTGGCAGAACTGTTCCCAGGTGTAAATCGGAACCACAGTGGCATCTTAGGGCTTGTGAAAGTAGAGTGGTGTGAGGAAGAGTGTGATTTGGGGTTTTAGTAGCATCTACGTCACTGCGACAGGAAGATCAGCCCCCTCTGCAGGCAGAGGAGCCTTTGGGCCAACCTTGCCCCAGAACTCTCCGGCTGTCCCTCCTCCCAACAGGCCACCATCCGCCTCCCCACCAGCCTCTGGCATCTCACCATCCAGTCATCCCAAGGACCTTAGAGATCAGTCACTCACCACAAAATGCCCCCAGCAGGTGAGAGAGAGGTGCTCGGTCACTGCCTCTCCTCTCAGCTTCCCTGTCCATGCCTCCCTCCTACCGGAGGGCCGGAGTCCACAGTCATTGCCATTCTCATTTTGCATCTAGAATATCAAACGCAAGTGGGCAGCCTGCTGCTAGGACGGTGCATGCGGGGAGAATGTCTTCATAGGGAGAATGTCGGTAATACTTGAATCTGCATGGCAGCTTGTTGACTTGAATGCAACAGCAAGAAAATATTGCAAGTTACGTAATTGTATATACCGTAGGTTTCCTTCCGTCTCTTTGGCTCGCCCTGTGTGATGTGTATGTGTGTATCTGTACTATTGCAGGCTTTTGGAACATATCCATGTAGATAGTATGTCGGGCATCAAAGAAAATGCTTTCCTGTCACCTGCCAATGTTGTGTTTGTGGGTATTTATGGCTGTATGTATGTATGTATATGTTATTCATGTGTAGATGTATATCAGTATATGGTGTATGTACATCCAATTTATTTTTGTCATTAATAACCAGTGTGATATGAAAAGCAAGTAAAAACCTCATAGGATTGAGTATTTAATGCTGTTATTGAGAACATAAATAGTGGTACTGTTTTATTCAACTTAAAGTCAAATGATATTTTGATTAAATTTTTGAAATAATAAGATTTTATGCTAGAAAATTTCATCTTTGAGCTTTGAATCACCAGGGCAAAAAAAAAAAAAAAATGACTCGGAACTAACTTTGTGAAACTATTTCAATGTCCTGTGTTCACTACCAAGGAGGGTCGCTCATCATAATTTGAGATTACAGAAAGGGGCGAAGAAATAAAACAAAACAAACAAATAAGCCGTTTTAGCAGCTTCAGTATTAAGAGCACTTAAACATAATGTCAAACTGACAGCTTGGGGCTTTTTACAAAATGCGATGCTTTAAAGCACGCGTTCTTTATTATTGTAATTAGTCCCGGAAAATAGAGCTTTGAGGAGAGCTCAGTAAGGACCCACCACCTCGTGCAGGTGCCTGCGTCTGTGCTGTGGTGGGTCAGACCCTCTCCTCATGCCTCATCCTTCCTCCCTCCTGTAGAGCGATAGTCCACACGCTGCCGTGTATCAGGGCTTCCCAGGATCGGGTACTGTAGTCTAGGCTCGCAGCTGCACACCTCGCATCTGGTGTCACAGGTAGAAGGATTCTAGGGCAGGCTCTGGACCAGGTTAAAAGTTGAATATTTTTATACTTAGGTCTCTTTCTGCCTCTCCCCAAAGAAGAGCCACCGGCCTTAGTTGTTGGAGCTGCTGCTTCTCTGGCAGCGTGTACATAGGAAACGAGAGATTCCGTTTTCCCAGCCAGCATGTTTGGCGTGTTCCCAGCTGCATCCGAGTGTGTGTGAGTGCGTGGTTGAGGCCTCGTGCTCTTGTGTCTGATCCTGAATCAGAGAGTCTGGGGTGGAGAGTGGAGACCGACCTTCGGCTCCAGGCTGCAGTCGTGTGTTGGTGGTTAGAACTTGAGCTTTTTTTTTTTTTTTTTTTTTTAAATTCACTCTAGTCTCAAATTATTTTTGCAAACCTGCCATAGTCCTGATTTGTTCTTGACGTGCGGTGACCTGGCTCTGACTGATCGGCAGGGTCTTTGTTCTGCGTGAGTGTCTTTCCTTCTAAGAATTATAGTGCTTTGCAGAAATCATACACTAAAGGAGTCACAACAATAAAATTTTTAAAAAAGCTTCATTTTGGGCCTTAATTAGTTGACATGTTTGGACTTTCAGTACAAAGCCATGTAGGTTAGGAAGCCAAGGAACCTTTGGCGTGGATAATAATATCCGCTCTGCCGAGCGTGTATGCACATTGATGTTTAATGCCAGTAACATACTTTTTTTAAGCTATAGGAACAAGAGTAATTAGACCAAATTAAAGCTGGGGGTGGAGAGCGTGAGCCAGCCACCTTCCCTTGGGGGGTGGACGTGCGTGCGGCCAGTCCTCTGCTCTGAGAGATGGGGAACCAGTTTCCTGTCCTGTCCGGTGTGTAGGGGGCAAGGTTCCCACATGGGGGCCTCTCACCTGTGTACGTACGCTTGCACACATGTACACACAGTGAATGTTTTAAGTTATACTTAAGGCACCCCGGGCCAGAGGGCTCTAAAGAGGAGATGGGCAAGGGGGTGGGAATGGCATCCCAGCATGTTCCCCAGGGGCCTGGGGAGTGTCTGGCTCTGAGATGCGCTGCATTTAGCCAATCAGTGAGGGGATACATGTCACATCCTTCCTGGTGGGCCACCCCCCTGAGGCTCGCTGGTCATGCCCAAGAAGCTGCTCTCCACATCCCGCAGCAGCCTGGGGCGGCTCCAGAGGCCTGGCGCACTGGTTTCCCCGGCGGCATTGCGGCTGGCTCCGGAGAGGATTCCAGAAAGAAAGCCACAAAGCACTTACCGTAGTGCTTATCCGCCTCCCCTCTGCGCTGCCCTGCTGAACCGCTAAGCACTTTCCACCAGCCCCGTGGGGAGGGACTGGCCCGTGTTTGCCGCCACAGGGCAGAAAGCTTGCTCTCACAAATAGTGTTATAACATACGCACCTTAACTTCAATCCCTGAACACGTTCGTTGGTGGAGAAAACTTTGGAGTTTCACTTGCTATTTGCCTGCGAGCCTGCCTTGATCCGTCTGTAGACACAAAGTCCCAGCCACAGAGTTGAGCAGAGAGCAGCATGGCAGGTCTGAGGCTCCTGGCCCGGGGCCCACAGAGGGGGCATTCTTTCCGCAGAGAGGAACACACCAGGCCTTGCACTCCACGTGGGCTCCCCCTGGGCAGCAAGCGCACCCTGGGTTCCACATGCCGCTCCCCGGCTTTGGGAATCCAGCGTCCTAACGGGCTGACCCTGCTGAGGCAAGATATCAGCTCTGAGAGGGACCGGGGCACTGGGGGTAGGAGGTGGGGGGCATGTGACAATAATGGTACCATAATGTGACATGGCTGAAGCCACGACACGCTGGCACCCTGAGCTCTAGCGAGGATGGGTGATATCTTGGCTTTGGCACCCAGATTTCTGGAAATGCAAAACATTTCATTTCTGGGAGAAGGGTCAAAGCACACTAAGCTGACTACTTAGCCAGCTGCTCAGTCCCAGGGGAGAGCTGTGGGGTGAAGGCCTAGACGCCTCCCTGCCTTCCCTTCTACCTCACGTTTCAGGAGCCGTTTCTAGAACAGGAATCACGCAAGTGGAGAACTGATGCTGTCGGCCTTGACTGCCGCAGGCAGGGCAGGGGAGGCCGTTTGTGTCTTTAAATAAGGTGACCAGACGTCCTGCTTTTTAACAATTTGTCCCGCATCCCGCAGCATTTTAAGAAAGTCCAAAAATTTAAAAAGATTCTTTCCAAAAATCAGGACTTTAAAAAAAAAAAAAAAAAAAAAAAAAAAGTCCAAAAGATTCTTTCCAAAAATCGGGACTTTAAAAAATCAGGACGTCTGGTCACCTTACTTTAATAGCGTGTGTACTATAGAAAGCAGGCTTTTAGCTTGCCAGCCTGTTGACGGGATTCCATTCCCTGTGGCTCAGGCTAGTAGGCAGGGACAGGCAGTGTGGAACATTCCCTCACCTTCAAAGTTTTCTCCACCCACCATTTCAGTCCCATCGCCGTGCTGGTGCCATAGTCCCTGCAGGTTGTGAAAGCGATCAGTGACAGGTAGCAGCCACTCCTTGTCAGTGGCCAGACCATCAGCATTGCAGACGGGTGAGCTCACGGTACCGAGTCACGTCCTGGAAGCGTGTTCCCCATCGCCACCTGCCGGGCGGGCGGGAGAAACGCATCTCTCAGAACACGGGGGCATTTTGGGGTGGCCGCCCTGGGGACGGAGCAAGTAATTTATGTGGATATTGTTAAAGTGTTTAAAGGATATTTTAAAAAATTAAGTTTACATTTTACAATTGCTTTATTTTTATTAAAATGGTTGTACATAAATATGACATTTCACTGTTGTTGAAGTAAAACCTCAACCGTGTAGACGAGTGAGTCCCTGCCGTGTATAGAAGCCGTGAGAGATATATATATATATATAGTACATTTCTCTATTGTGTAAATGTTCATGGATAGAGCTGTTCCTGTGTTTTTATAAGTTGGGGCTAACTTGTTTCACAACAACAAAGTTTATTGCATTTAAATGGTTTTTATGTGATAGAAATCATGCAAACTAGTGAAGGATTTAAAGTATGTATATGATACATGTAAATGTACAAACTCTAGCAAGAAATAAATACAACGGATTTCAATCATTTTCCAGAATGTCTTCATTTGCTTATTTTAATCACCTGCATAATCCCTTTAAAGTTCAAAACAAGCACCACAACACACCCTCTCCTGCAGGAAAGAAAGCAGAGGCCAACACCGTGAGAGATTTGGCCAGAGTGAGTGAGGAAGGTGGTGTGAAAGCCAAATTGTTAATGGACTCACCTCTGTTTCTTTTCAAACATGCTTTTATTGATTTCAGATATTGGAAGGGAGAGGGAGAAAGTGTTAGAAACATCACTGATGAGAGAGAATCGTCTACTGGCTGCCTCCTGCATGCCCCACATTAGGATCATGCCCTCAACCCGGGTACATGCCCTGACCTGGAATGGAACCATGACCTCCTGGTTCCTAAGTCAACACTCAGCCACTGAGCACCGTAGCCAAGCCTGACCCACCTCTATTAACTTCCATGAAAATTCATGTTTGCGTGAGGATTTTGGTGAGACTGAAAAAGCCTGCTGTCTCCACTGAGCAGGGGAGGAACAAAACCTTTTGAAGTAATTTCAAGAATTCATCTGCATTCCCTTGTACTCCTAATTCTTCTCACCAAGGCACAGGGACCAGAGGGTCCTTATTGCCGCAAATGCTCATCACGAAGGCATGGTGCCTGTGTGTACACATTCTCATAACCACACTTCCCAGGAAAAGTAACATCTGTGGACTTGGAAAATGGAACAAAAAAATTCTATCCTGGTCACTTCACTTCTGAATATTGAGCATTCCATGTTTGGGGGTTTGCACTTTCCTGAAGTAAGGTCGCTGGTGACATCCTCCTAAACATGAATGAAACTGCTGCCTGGAAGAGACCAAAACTGGGATGATGTAAATTTCAAAGAAAGAAATGGCTGGGGCGGGGTGGGTCCTATTCGGAATGTGAATCTCAAAGACGCATCCTCTTATACAAATGCTGAATCATTTTACACCTGGAACTAATGTTATCTGTCCATTACATTGCAGTTTTTTAGAAGATCGAAAAACAAAAACATGAGTCTTCATTGTCCAGTTGTCTGTCCTCTGGAGCCAAGAACTTGGTGTATCTCATCCTATTGTTTGCTACACAATAATATTTGACCCAAAGGATCTATATAGGTCTTTTTTTTTTTTTTCTTTCTTTTTTAGAGTGACGTTGATTTGTTGTTCTGCTTATTTATGCATTCATTAGTTGATTCTTGCCTTGACTGGGAATCGAACCCACAGTGTTGGAGTATTGGGACACAGCTCTAACCAACTGAACTACCCCGCCAGGGCATATAAATTGTTTTTAAAAGATGAACATTCATGAGAGGAAACCCAGAGCAAATTAAGATATTATAATGAAAAAACTAGCAACTCTTAACTAATGTATCCTCTGTAGATTAATCTGTCCTACAGTACTCTGAGACTTGCCATTGAGACTGATTAGTCACTGTTTTTATTGGGAAAACCTGTAGGCAGCAAGAAATACTGGAGACAGGCCTGTCGGAGGAGGGAGGGAGTTAGGATGCTGTAGACCCGTGAGCTCAGTGTAACTCTGGGCACCATTTTAGAGTGAATAACAAAGGGAAGCAGCAATTACTGCAACCCAGCCTGGCTTCCCAAGAACAAATCATTCCAGCCTGCATTCATTCCCAATTTTGTAAGATATAGGTCATTAGAAAAGTGCAGTGAGTGGGCAGAATGTGTGGGCCACGGCCTGACCTGGAGTGAAGTCAGCCTGGGACCATGGAGCAGTTCGACCTGGACATTCGTGCGGTCGTGAGTGCGCAGCCACCCGAGGGATGCTAAGGACCGGACGCGCCAGGACGTGGAGAAGCACTTCCTGTCCCAGCGCAGAGCTGCCTTTGGCCCCATCTGTTCCACGTTTTCATTAATAACGTGACTGAAGCTGCAAAAGATGGGTTTGTGAAAGGGGTGTATGTTATAAAGCTGAGAAAGGACGGTGATACTAAATGGCAGAATCAGGATTCAAAAAAAAATCTCATCATCAGAGAATGGGCAAGGTAACACTCTGAAATGAAAGCACGGACGATTGCCACGCTTCGGTTATTCAGAAAGCAGCTACAAGGCCACTGGAGGGCCGTGTGTCGCACAGCACAGCAAGCAGGCGGGAACGAAGGCGCCAGCCCTGATCCGCAGAGAGCGCCGTTATAAGCGAGCGGAGCGGACAGCCGCCCACACGGTGGTCCGGCCCAGACAAGGACGGGCAGTGGCGGGGCCTTCACTAGTGAGACTGCACCTGTGCAAATGGCCTTGAGGTTTGGGGTGCAAAACCCGAGAGTATGCAAGAGCAGCAGCCACATGGCAAAACCAGGTGAGCGATGCGATAAGGGGACCACGGGAATATGTGCAAGGTCAGGACGGTCACCCTGACAGAGGGAGAGCCGGCTTTAAATGCCAGTCAGGGGCATGCACATTGGTTGTGGGCACATCCCCAGTGGGAGTGTGCAGGAGGCAGCTGGTTGATGTTTCTCTCTCATTGATGTTTCTAGCTTTCTATCCCTCTCCCTTCCTCTCTGTAAAAAAATCAAAAGATATTTAAAATAAATAAACAAATGTGCGCGAGCGTCTATGAGGGAGGACGCTGAGAAGGCTGCGAAAGGGGGAGACCCCAGCGAAAGGAACAGGACATCCCAACAGGAGGAAAAGCCCCCCAACACACACCCCTCACCCCAAAGCTGGCGCTGGTGGAGTGGGGGAGGGCTGCAGATTTGAGGAACAAGGGAATCCTCCAAAGGGCGGTTCTTCTTTGAAATATCCACGGAGCCCTGACGTGCCTGGCAGTTTGCTAGCCACGTAGCCCGGTCCTCTGGTCCAGTCTTTAGGAGGCAGCACTGCCCTCCTCCCGTCTGCAGAGAGGACCTGCGCGGTGGGGGCTTGGGTGCTGTGCACAGGGCACAGACCACCTGCCTGAGACAGCCTCCCCGGGTGTGCTGGCCGCAGCCTTAGTTTCCCCCTCTGTGCTGTGCCCCCAATGGGCTCTTCCCCAAATTCACGTGTGGACATGGAACCCCCGGTGTGGCCGGGGCTTCTGGAGGAGGCGGACTAAGGCAGGAGGGGGCAGCCCGCAGGAGGGTGCTCCTGAGAAGCAGAGACCAGAGCCTTCCTCCGTGGGGACACAGCGAGCAGCCCCAGGCGGTGGCCGGGAAGAGGGTCTCAGTGGCCGGGAAGAGGGTCTGGGTGGCCGGGAAGGGGGTCTCGGTGGCCGGGAAGAGGGTCTGGGTGGCCGGGAAGAGGGTCTCGGTGGCCGGGAAGAAGGGTCTGGCCGCAGCCCAGCCTCCTGATCGGACTTCCAGCCTCCAGACCCGAGAGCGAAGCCTCTGGCGTGCAGAGGCGCTCAGCCTGTGGTCCGTGGTTCCAGGATCAGCCTGAGCAAACTCTCCCCTCAGCACCCACTCACTCCAGGCTGGCCAGCGGGGTGGGGTGGGGTTCTCTGTCCCGAGCCTCTGTGTTGGGCAGCCAGTGTGGGGAGTGTCAGTGCCCCATCCCTTCCCTGGCTGACCCCTAACAACACTGTGAGCTGCAGGCCACCTACCTGCTCAGATTTCTTTCAATCATCAGCTCGTCCCACCCGGGCATTCGCAACCAAAGGTCCCACTCTCCGCGGGTTGAAAACAGGACTTGCTGTTGTGTTTGGGAAACCGCAGTGGGGAAGGTGAAACTACTGTTCTCCACCTGGCGGGTTGAATCTGTGGATGTAAATCCCAGG